CCTAGGACAAATTTTAGCTTCCTCTGCTTGCCCATGTTCAGCCTGTGATCAGCCTTAACCCACTTCACTTAAAACCATTCATCTGCACAATTGGTAAGTATAGTAACTTGCACTTTTTGGAAATAAATTGTCTTGACTTGTCGCTTTTGCCTTTTATTTTTTGGGTTAGTAGTTGTGAAAATCTATCTTTTAGTTTGTAAAATTATCAAATTTGATCTGTAAGATAGTGAAAGAGAATGATCTTGGCAAATAGTGGTTTTTTGAGAGTCACTTTTCAGATTAAAGGCAGTTAAGTACTCAAGGTTAAATTTTCTTTATCTTTTAATGCCTGGTTACAGACAATACACTGCACAGAAGAAAGAGAAACATTTAAAAGCTGCATCTAGTCCAACTGAAAATGATAGATTTATATTACCTATATATTCATCTGAACATAATGATTCTCAGTTCCCTATATAGACTTATAGTCTATATAGAGACTATATAGGTTTATAAGACTTTAGGAAAATGTGAGAAGAGGTTTCTAACTGTAGAAGACAACAGGAAAAGAACTCCCTTTTTCTGACTGTTTTGTATGTTCTCTTTTTTTGTTTCACTTTTAAGAGCTGGCTGTATAGTTGGTGTTTGAGAATGTCTTTTTAAAAATGTATGAACATATGTTTTCAAGGAAGCGAAATGAAAGCCAGGTGAAACCTTCCTAAAATGCTACAAAATCCAGAAAATCCTTTATGTTAAACCATAAGGGTTTTTTTTTCCAACAGTCTCAAATTCCTTGGTTGGTTTTTGGTTTTCCCTCTATAACTTCCTTTCTTCCTAAGAATGAGAAGCCTATTTTTTCTCTGGCATGCAAAAATGCATTTTTTTCCTCTCAATTATTTTTAATGCTTGTCAAGAAAAAAGCCCAGAAGTTGGTGAACATTATTCAGCCTACTGTAGCAGCTTTTTGTTATTTAAGACATAAATCAAATGTGGAACTTCTTTTTTTCCTGGGGGACAAATTGTTTATCTAAATTTGAATGTGCTTGTGAATCACTTATAGGGACAGTACTTGTGCTGTTGCTCTGTAAGAGCAATTATTTGCATTGGTTTACATTGTTTTGCTCCATAGCATTAAAGTAGTCAGACTGCTCACAGGTGTACAGTACCTCTGCAGATCCCTGCAGGAGGAGAGCCATGGACCTCAGTCCTCCAGACAGCTGTGGACATGTTTATGTGCCATCAGAAGAACTCTTCCAGCATGTGAAGTTAAAGAGTGCATGATTGGTTTGTGGGGTCTGGGGTCAAGATCATTCCCAAAGCAAAGCCCATTGAGGGATCAGAGATTTTTTTGTGTTTGTTCACAAAAAAAAAAAAAAAAGTTAGAATAGTTCACAGAATCACAGAATATTCTGAATTGGAAGGGACCCACAAGGATCATCAAGTCCAACTCCTTAGTGAATGGCCCATACACGGATCAAACCCACAACCTTGGCATTACTAGCATCGTGCTCTGACCAACAGAGCTAATCTCAGTAAATTAAGAAGACAACAAAACAGTTTTGTGAATTGGCTGCTCTTTCATAATATCTTCCCTTTTGCCTCTGTGGCTCTTACTTGAGCTTTTTAACATTTGTGACACTTTCGTATAGGTACAGGAGATTGCAGCTTCATTCGCTTTGAAATGGAACCTGCGTTCCTTGTGTCTAGAAATCCCATCCTGCATTATCAGCTTTGGGAGTGGAAAGAGAAGACGTTTATTCCTTTAGTAGTATCTGCTGAAGATGTTTAAGGGCACACAAAGGCAAGTGCCTTCCCAACAGAGTACCTGCTTTGCAAAGACAACCCAGTCTTATTTTTTCTACTTCTAAGTCTGACAGTATTTTACACTGTCAGACTTAGAAGTAGAAAAAATTAATTCACATGCAGTAAGCATTGACTTTTATCACATAATTAGCATTCTAAACTCACAGTTTCAGAAGTTTGTAACTCAACAGTATGTTTAAACTCAGTAAATTCAAGCCAGAAGCCTTATTTTTCAGTGTAAAAAGATGCCTTTTGTTTCTACACTATCAAGCCAAGTGGACCTTGTTTACTTCAGGCTTTGTAAAGGTTTTAGATTATAAATTTTTTTTTAAATCAAAAATTAATTTCTTGAGTTTCATTCTGATATTTCTCAGATTGCAAGTCTGCTTTGACATACTTGAAAAAAAATTTGAAAAAGTTCAGTGATAGGTGTTTAAAACCATTTCCTGAGAACTCATAATGGACCATATTCCAAATATTCCTGCGCACTTCTCACTGACATCGGTGGAGCTGTTCTGTGCACATCCTGTTTTTAAAATCCTGCATGCATAATCACCATCAGTATTGTTACAGTACCTACTGTAGGTGGGTGCAACTCTGAATGCAGATTTGCAGTATCAGTCCTAATGGTTCTCTCTTGAGAGAAATTCAAGATGCTGTTCATAAGCTGTTCTGGACTTTTAGGCAACCAATCCCATCTCACACATACAGTCTCAAATACTTTTTGTTAAAGAAAATCAAACACTTCAGAATACATATTTGTATGACACTGTTCCAGTCTGTTGGATAAAATGTGTGCACTTTATAATATTCACTTAGAGATGTATAGGTATGTGCATAGTATAATAACAACAAAATTATGTTAATCTTATGATATATGATTACATGTGCCTAAAAAATGTCAATGCCAAGTATACATTATGGTATGTCAGTTGTTATCCTTTCTTTCATTTAACTGTGTATGAAAGAGAAATTTTAATTTCCATTTTTTGGGAATGTTGCATATGTATTACAGTCTGATCTTTTTTTGAGTATAAGATATCCTGTGTTTAATTCTGTATGTTTAGGTAATTACCATTAGAACACAGGAGGACATATTGTACTTACTGCCTGTACTAGAGTATAATGTGCTGGACTGCAACAGCTACACTTGTTAAGCAGATTTTAGCATTTCTTCACACAGCAGGAAGCACCCATGCTGTGGCTTCTTAATGTACACTTTAACTACTGCACTGTACTGTGCAATAAAAATAATAATTAATTATGATCCTCACCTTACCAGTACTGCTGCTATCCGGGTGATTTTGGCTGCTGTTTCAGGGTTTCACTGTCCCACACCCTGAAAAATATCTTTCCCTTCAGAGTTTTATTTCTTGTGTGATATTGCTGAACAGAGCTGAATTTTTTGAGGACAGGTTTGTTGCATGGATTGTGATGGCTTCACATTTGTTCAGGTCTCCAAGGACCCGCACCAATAAATGTGAAAGAGACAACAGCAGAATGGCATACTTTCCCATTTCCACCAGGATGAAAAAAAAATACTCTAAATTAAGTCTAACCTTAAATGTATAATCTGTCCTTGGGAGAAAAAAAAAAAGGATATAGCATCTTCAAGCTCTTGGCATCCCTTACGAGAAAAAATTGGTTCTAAGGGTCTCTGATCTTGTGTTTTAGTAAAATAGAACTGCACGGCTGACTGACAGTTCTGATCTAAAGCATTTACGTTTAAGTTTTGATCTCTCTGCTTTTGATTAAAACTAATGAGCTCATTTAATTCAAAATGGGAATCTCTGATAAGAGAAATAAGGTTGATGTGATTGGATTAGAGGGGCAAATTAAACTCTTAGAGCAGAAGTTTGTGCTTATACAGTGTATTAAAAAGCTGTTGGCGTATTATGGTGTGTTAGATGATGAGAAAAATTTCATAGTAATTCATATTTAATCAGAAGAAATGAAAGTACTAAATATAACATGGCTCTGCTTTTCCCTCGAGTGATAAAGAGCTGTACATTTAAAATGACATCAAATTCATGCTCTCTAAAACAAAAAAATCTGAAGAGACACACTAAAGAAAGGGACACTGTTGTCAGTTATCACAACAGAGCTGAAATGTCACAAACACAAGACAATCTGACCACATTAAATCAAGGACAATTCAATATAATCCTTAGCTCACAAACAAGTTTTTGCACTTCTGTTGACTGTATAACAAATGCATTTTAAATACTGAAATACTTTCTACTAGTAGTTTATATGGTTCTCCTAAACCATAGAAGTACAATTTCAAAATATTTCTTTTGTTCCTTGTTAATTCCTCACTGAAATTGAAATTTATCTCAAATAATGCCTGTTTATTGTAAACTGCTCCAGAATTTTCCCATTAACAATATTTTGGTCATAAGTTGATTATCAGGGCTAAAAAACAGGAATAATCAAGATTGTGTAAAGAATACCTCAGTGCTGATGCTATTTTATCATGGTTTACACTCAGAGTCTTAAGTAATTTAAGTGGTTGCAGTTAAGGGAGGGAGAAGTGCAGGTGAGAGCTATACTTAGTCGTGAGCACCTAATATCCCTTCAGTTGGACTAGAAAAATGTTTCATTAATGACTAATTAATCACCAAAAATTGATGATATGATGACAATAATAATAATATGTGCCATTTACTTAAGAATTCTTGCCTTCAGGTTGTTTAATGTTTTATTGATAATAAAGGCCCTAATTTAGCCTCAGTAATATGGAAACCAAGGCACACAGATCCAGCACTGACTCAGGTATCACTGCAGTTGAGGAGAGACTAGGGAATAAAAATCTGCAGAATGTGCAGCCTATTTCAGGAGAGAATTGCTACCTAAGTGAGACTTTGCCTTTTACAAAATACTGATAAGCAGTTTCTAAAACAATGTCATACACTAGCGTAATACCCTCCAACTCCAGTCGTAGCTAAATTGTGCAAGAAAGAGTTAATGAGACAAATCTCTGTTAAAAATTCTATGGGAAAAATTACTTGAAAATTAGACATACTGAGTATATGTATATTTTTGTAATTTCTTTTTTGCTAAATAAACATTTTCTAAATGAGGTAAATTGATTACAACACTCTTAGCATCCATCAGTCATTTATTTTTAGTGAGTTCAAGGATTGCACCTGAAAGATAGCTTAGAGGGGATGTATAAAATCTAAATTATGTGTATATGTATTTTTTCTATTCCCTAGTGGAATCTACAAACCCCAGTTTGCTAACCACTGACAACACTCTAGAGCGCTCTTTTTTCATCCGAATGAAATCTACACTGACCAAGCGAGGAGTGCACATCAAATCATCAGGATACAAGGTAAGGGTTGCACTGTAACATGAAATATTGACATCTTGAAATTACGTTCATTCATGTTCCAGGAACACTTTAATAGACAGAGAGAGGAGCTATTTCACATTTGCATATGTCTCATTCCTTTTGTTAAAGAATCATTAATACATATTTCCAGCCTGGGGTTTGGCTTTTGTACTGCACTTCCATTAAATTGATCATTATTATGATAAATGTTGATGATAACAGCATCATAGCCTTGAAAAGAGCAACATTTCCAAAGTAAAGGTATCTTTTACCAAAGGTAAGTCAGAGTAACATCACTTTTCCCACAGGAAAATTACTGCTCATTTTGTTAGACTGTTAGTAATTTTTGGTTTATGCTTTTCCCAGGGAGGTTGGATTTCTTCATGCAGGCAGCAGGCTATTCCGTTTTGCAGCCATTCCAGCTGTAGGAAACAATGAGCCACATTGAGTACTTTTCCACCATTTTTCTTTCATTGTCTGTCTGAGGGGCATCTGCTGCTGGGGATCATTTTTGCTGGATTTCAGACTCTTTTAAGATATGAATGTCTCTTTTTCCTTATCAGCAGTAATCTCATTTTTCTTCAGTCGTATATCGCTCATAGCGCCTTTAGCTATCACTAGCTTTGCAGTATACTAAAACTAGAAGGAATAGTACATTTTTAACATTGTCAACTTGTGGAATGAAATATGTCATCCATTAAGTTTTATACAAGATAAAAGAGTGGTGCAAGAAAGTAAGTCTGAGAATGTGTGGGTATTTAAAGAAGTTGCTTGTCAATGTTCATTTAAAAGTTTTCACAACCATTTTGTTTTAGTTTTTAGAGGAAGATTTAGAGAAGCTTTAAAGTAAAGTTCCCCAATTCACTTTTCCCAAAAAATTCTCTAAGAATATAGCATTGTGGTAGCTACCTGAGAAGTAAAAATCTAGCAGAAGTATCTTCTTCACAAGCAAGTGGCTGTGAGTCCTGCTCTTGGATGGTTTCTGGGACAAGATGATTAAAGTTGTTGCTAGTAGAAGTTTTCATTGCTAGTAGAAGTTTTAAGTCCAAAGCAATGGATTCATAAGACATCGCAAGTTTTGATCTGTGTCCTGTTTAATTGTCAACAGCTGAAGGAATGGACTGAGTACTTGTTCATGCTTGCAAGTCTAGGGAGATACCAGGACCAGGAAGTGTATTGACACTAAAGTATCCCAGGAGGAAGAAGGAGAATGAATAAATGAATTAATTAATTAATTAATTAATTGGCACATCATGGAGTCATAGAATGGTTTGGGTTGGAAGAGATCTTGCTTTTTTAGGTCATTGAAGTTAAACTAATTCTCATTATTAGGTATGGTCCACCAGGCTCAGACAAAACTAGATTAATAGAGAACTTACTTTGCTGGATATTTTAGATGCAATAATAACGGCTAAACATAGGGAATTTTGTTGTTTGTAGTCTCACTTTTTTTGCCAGATGTAGGTAGGAACAAAAGGTAGGTGTGTGAATGACTCTGTCATTCTCTCTCTTGGACTCCTGACGATCTAATTTTAGTCCAACATCAGAATAGGACATATAAGGTGGCTTCACAGGGTGGGGTTTTTACTCATTACAATGCAATTTTTGAAATTCACAGTAGACCCTTGGCTCAAAAGACATGGTAATGTCTATCATGTACATACAATTTAATTTCTCTTAGAATTTCTAATGCTTCATGGCAGTATTTAAAAGCATAACTGGGATGTCACAAGTACAGCAAAATTAGTTTTGAAAGATCAGATACCATTTTTTTGCCAGTTTTTCCTGAACACAATTAATGGATAAAAAGGAAAAGTATGAAAGCCAACAAAACTGCCTGTAAATAAAATATTGGAATTTTTCCAAATTTTTTCACAAGGCAAGTCAGCTTGAGTAAAATTGCATAAACAGTGTACAAGCCTTAGGCAGGTGTAAAAATAGATGTGCAGTTCTTCTGCCTTTTGATGTTTTTAAGGATTTTGTAACTGGCAGTATTTAGCTGAATTCAGCTGTGTCCAGCAATATGAATTGCACTCTTACAGTTTTTCAAAAGCTTAGTTATTGGCACTCTGTGTTCTATGGAAGGATCATTATCCATGGCCACATCAAGCCCCAGAAAAATAGTACATTTATTTCAGAAAATTTGGATCAAGTGAACATCTTTTTAACTGAGCTTTAAGAACTGCCATGTTTAAAAATTCTTGTCAGTTGCTGTATCAGACAAGCATAAAAAAACTCAACCACTGTAGTAAATGTCACTTTTAGGAATCTTAGTCGTTGATTTCTAAAAGTCCAGTACTAGAACAAACTTAAGGCCAAAATTAAGAAATATACATGAGCCTTATGGATGTACGTCTACAAGAAATTATCAACAGGGAAGAATAGTTGCATAACATTAACAAAAGTCAGGGGGGAAACTGTCTAAGTACTGCATCTGAGATCCCTGGAAGTACTTCAGCACTTACTCAGGAAACCCTGTGCCAGCTGGGATCATGGGCAGCAGACTTCCTGCAGGAAATCCTGCTGGAGCAGGCTGACTAAGGAGCCATTGTCTCCCGCCTTCAGAATACAACAGAGCACTGAATTTTCTGTCTCTAAAATGCAAGGGCTCTTGGCTAACACCTCCTGTGAGCTCCTGTAAGGGGATTCAGGGGTACCCTCCTTAATCAGCACACAACCTTTCATTGGGAGCAGTGTGCTAGGAGCTGCCTGTGGTGTGAGTCAGATTTTAGCTCTCTCAAAGGTATTCAGCTCCCATGGATTCAGACCTCCAGCAATGACAAAATTTTTTCATCTTTGTGAAGTAGTTGTGTCTTGATCCAAACTCTTGCTGAGCTCAGAACCACATCATCATTTTGCCTTTCTTTGAGGACTGCTGGTGAGTGTTTCCTGTAGACAGCAAATGACTGAGGTGGTCCACAAGGTGCTTAGTCAGTTTTCAGAATGAGTGGTCCCTGCCTCAGGAAAACCACATAAAAGTGAAAAAGGTCCAAGAATGAAATTGATTTATTATTCAGGTTGATCTAACCAAAACTAATTCCCTATCAAAAGCAATGTAAGAAAAAGCAGGCTGATGAATCTACACATATGTATGCCTCAAAGAAACCCTGCTCTAGACAATTCTGACACGAGATGAACCTGTTCATAGTCCCTTCCTGGACTGATATAACTAGTTCTGAATTACACGTAAAGATGGAGGTAATGGCCTTTTTCCATTAATTATATTACCTTAAAAGTGTAAGTGGAAAAGTGATTACATGATTAATCCTTCCTCTCTCTTTCCCTTTCATTGTTCGGTAGCACTCTCCTTGAATTAGAATTTCCCATTCTTAATGGTCTTAGGCTCAGGGGTTTGCGGGAAAAGAGTTTGCATACAGTACTAGAGAGTTATTAATGTTTCAGTTTAATAAATTTAGAATCTTTTAAAACAGTGAAATAAAATTTAGTCAACCGATAAAACACATGGGAAACAAATAAAAAGAAAAAAAATATAATTCCATTCACTTAAAAATTCAGAATGTATTACCATTGCAACTGTTGTCTGAGACACATGCTGAAGATTTACTGTTTGTTCTCCACTGAAAATGCAGCTTGCCTTCCTTTTTTTTCAATATTTATTTTTTCATCATTGAAATATGGTTTTGTATTTAATTTTGATTATATCTTCATTTTGATTTTATTTAATTTTTCCTCCCTTTGAGGGTCGCAGTTCTGTCCACTTAAAAGTTTTCCCAACTTCAATTTTTCTGCTGTCTGACTTACTCAATCATATGTCAAAGCTAATTTTAATTCAAAATTATTTTTTTCAGGTCCAGTGATACATTTTCTACTCCTCTACAGTATGCTATTATTGTTTTGTCATGTTTACTTGCCTGTCAGATTGTGCTAGAATTTTCTTTGTTCAAACTTTCATGACCTGATACTGCTCTCTTGAACAAAGCTTAACTAAGTAGTCAAAGCATCAAACAGCATCAGAGTCAGTAGCTGCTGGCTGTTTCCAGCTCATCAACTCATCAGAGGTGCTAGTATATGTCCATGCATACTCCTCCACTGTTTTATAGAACAGCACTCTCATTATGAGCTATTACAGAAGTGGACAAGCAAACACGAGGAGCTTGCCTTGTGCTTTTACTGGCACTGTGGCAATCTCTGAATGTGGTGTAACCAACATCTGCTGCCTCTCCCTCTCCCACGAAGCTGGCAATTAAATATCTTGAAGACCCATCAGCAGAGTTAAGGACATCCTAGAAAACCTTCAGGCTGTCCCTTCCAGTAGACAGGCTGCATAAAAATAAGTAAATTGGTATATTAAAAAAAATTGGTTTGGTAAGTTTAGTTTAGAAATTTGGATGGTTTGTTGTACATCTAATTTCTGCAGTTCAGTAATGGAGGATGCAAGTTTGGTTAGCTATATCTCATAGAAGTTGCATGAGGTATATCAAAATATTTTAAAAAATACTTAAAACTCCAGAAAAGTGTTTTCACAAATTAGTCTGGTAGTCCTCATGATTTCTTTTTTTTTTTTTTTTTTTTTTTTTTTTTTTTTTTTTTTTTTTTTTTTTTTTTTTTTTTGGGGTTTTTTTTTGGTTTTTTTTTTTTTTTTTTTTTGACAATGCTGTCTTTCTACAAACTCATTTAAATTAAACATTCTCTGAGTCTGTACTCTCAGATTTGGTAATTAAAATCATAAAGTTAGAATTCTTTGAATGACAATTTTGAAGATGGAAATCTTAAATTTTTGTTGAAATTTTATGCCTGTCATGGTTCTACGGTGAGGTTTTTCATGCTATTCCTTCCTTTATTCACTTTTTTTTTTTCCTTTTAGAACTTGAGGAGTTGGGCAAGATTTGCAGGTCTTAGTTGAGGGCTTGAAGTGCAGGTTTGGCAGAATTTAGATTCATTAATCCAAGAGGGCAAGAGAGACAAAAACTGGGTTAGAAAGACAAAATTACATTGGACTCACCTTGTGATACTGTTCTCTTGGTTCAATCCAAAACTGA